GGAGTCACTTACTGGCTCGCTGTTGCGTGCTAACTGTACTAGCTGCTGCCACTAGCTAGATAGCGGTCCTATTCGTCTGTACAGACTGGGAGCTCCAAGGACAGGGTGAGTTACTTGCTCCGAACTATTAGGACTCTGGCGGGAAAATACAGCGGTTTCAGGCAGCGACAGGATAGGCATCAAACGGTAAAGAGGAGTCATTTGTAAGTAACTGGTGACATTATATATCATCCATCGTATTGATAGGTTTGTGAGTATTTGTTTCAGTGAAGTTGGAAGTTATTTATTCCGTGTTTTGAACAATGAGACTTGTGTGATGTTACACTATGTTAAAATAAATGTTCAGTCTCCTTTCTGGTTGTTCTGACACAGAATCCTTACCACTTTTTATGTTTCCATTTAACAGGCGGCTGTTGAAATCTATATATTTAAATAATTGATATCATAAACGTGCTAGGAAAACCTTCAGTAGGGAGGAGACCTATTAAAAAGATCACAATGTGTTCGACATCCGGACATTTACCTGCAGGATGATGTCATAGAGGCGGATGAGGTCCTGTGGACGGGGTCCTCTCTTGTTCTCGTCGGCTTCGGGTTCCTTCAGTTTAGCCTGCAGAGTATGGGCCATGCTCTCATTCCTCTTCACCAGCGTACACAGCTTGATGTAGGTCAGGTAACTGGGAGGAGACCAGCCGCACATTTATTATTCACTTATCGAAGAGATAAACGTAAGCAACAAAACTGGATATGTTACTGTATCAAAGACTACATTACTTGTATTCTCTATTTTTTGGGAATTATCATTTTTGCATCACAAACTCAATTTTCACTTCCATTTTCAAAATATTCAAATAATGGATAAAGTTTTGGGGTCTGTACCAAATACATCTGGAGAAGGCTTTGTTGGCCTGGTCATTTCAGCAGCACTACAGTACTTCATTATAATGCTGTTTGTCAAACATTTTACCTTTACACAAATATTGTGATTGGCCATATTGTGTTTTTGATAATATTTAAATTAAATTGTGCAGCCCTAGTTTACAAAACAAGGAATCTGGAAAGGCCACTTTTCAAAGCATTCTTTGATCTTTTATCTCTGATTTTACAGACAAACGATTAGTTGAGAAAACAATAGGCAGATAAATCAATGATGAAAATAATTGTTAGTTGCAGCTGCAGACTACGATTGTCTGGCCTTGACAAGCACATGTAAATGTCTTGATTGAACTCTGTTTGTAGTTTACCTGTGCAGGAACTGCAGGTTGGACACCTTTCCACTGTCAGCATCAGAGCTCCTATCTCGTTGCTTCTGCAAAGAAAAGCAATATTTAGAAAGTTTTTTACATTCTCGTTTTAAGGTCACATGTTGTAACTGTTAGAAACCTGTAACTCCAACTAATGACCTTGGTCCATTGGCAACCATCTAGTCCATAAATAAAAACTCTGTGGCGTTCTGGTGTGTCTTACCGCCTCACTCTTGAGTTCCTCTCTCACAGCCTGGATGGTGTCTCTGCACTCTGCCAGCAGGGTCTCATACAGATGCTCTTTGGTCTCCTCGTTGGATGCCTGCACAACAGGAACATAACAACAAGATGCTAACTGTAAGTGGGGTCGTTCATGCTCTTGTTTTTTGGGGGAGTGGGTGATCGCTTTATCGCATGTCCCTTATATTGAGTGGATACACCAAATATATATCTTAAAAATGAAATCAGTCACTTTTCACCTGATTATAACTACACCTGCACTAATAAAATCCAATCAACACAAATATTTTAACAGTTTAAAAGTTGCAGTAGTTTGATACAAAGAGCAACAGTTTAAGCAGGTATGAAACTGTGGCTAACTGGGGGAGAGACGCAGGCATGTGGCCGGGCAGGCTGCCGATGCATTCCTTCACACACACAACTCATCAGCAATCAGACACTCTGGAGTTTCAGGGCTCAACTCTTAGTGAATGACAGGATTGTTCCTCACCTCATCTTTCTTTCATCGACACTCTCACACAATAGTGCTGGTTACTTAAAACACACAGGCAGCTACAGCACACATGTTCATATTTAAAAGACAGATGTTGGAGTGCAGTAAATGGGAATCTAAGTAATGTAAGTGATTAACGCCTAATGAATGTTGCTACATTACGTTGAGTTGTTCTCTGTATTTGACTCATCCTACGTGTTAGGAGCAGTGGGCAGCCACTGTACAGAGAACTATCCTGACATGCATGATTTTGATTGTGTGGTTTCCTCCGGGTTTGCCGGTGTCCCCCACCGACACTGGGAACACATGCAAACTCCACACGCAAAGGCTCGGTCCCAGCCAGGATTGGATCCCAGGACCTTCTTGCTGTGAGGCAACAGTGCTAACCACGAGGTCACTGAACAGTATGATACAGTATCATTTTTGTTTAAAACTCATGTTTAAGTCTTTAAACACTGTTGTGGATGATATTATTGTCACATCTTCACCTTTGAAGAGGCCAAAAACCCTTACAAAGCGACATAGTGGAAGAATGTTACGAGAAAATTCCTCGCCGTGATGAGGCTGCTCTCGTACACCCACAGCGCTGATGATATTTAGTCCATTCACTCATGCCAACACCCTGGCAACGCCTAGCAAGACTGGCTCAACCTGTCAAGCCTCTTTCTGTTGTTCAGAGGGAGGGCCGGATGGATAAACCGATTAGAGTCGTTGTCGTTAATGGAGCTCCTTCCTGTCCCCAGAGGCAAAGAGTTGGGGACCAGGTGCAACACACAGGGAAGCTCAAGGTGTGACATACTGTTACTCTCTATTGAGTAATCAAAAGATAAGTGGCACCTAAGCTTGTTATTTTGTAATATTTACTCCATCACTCACCAATATAGTTGATGATGATGTCATTTTTATTATGTAGGCCTTACAATATCAAGAAAAAACTACTGATGATCACTGTCAGCTTCAATGTGGCTTCCCACCATTGACAGTATATATAACAGACAGAGCTTCTGGGTCTGAAAAGTGAAGCCGAGTGTCTTAAACCTGCATTCAATGTAAAGGCCAGCAGGGGGCGCTCCATTGGCTGCAATAACAGCGATCCCATTCACTTTAATGGAGAAATGAGCCGACTTCTCACTTCATTTATGAGCTCAGTAAAACAGTTTCCTGATGACTTTAGGGTCTTAGTCGCTAGTTTAAAATCTTCTTTAATACACTATGATGTTTATTTAGTAAATTATGGTCCAATTTAGAGTAAAATAGACAATAAAGCTGCGTATGCGTTAGGGCGTGGCTACCATGACCATCGACAGGTCACTCTCAGTGAGTCTGTCTAGCGCAGCGCATAAAACTCAGATCAAACTATCAAACTTGGCAGCGCTGATCAGATATGAAGCTAGATTCTGTTACTGTGTTGAATATTTCTCACAAACATATATCAGTGTACTGTTTATCTGTAATACGAGATTTTGTATGACCAGGCAAGCCGCCACTGTTTCCTGCACTTCGGGCGAACTCGAGGCTTCAAAACGTTACTCCACAGACCGATCGGTGACGTCACGATATATTCACGCTTGCTTCCCACATAGGCAGTCACAGCGAATATTAGCTTAACAATGGACTCTAACACTACAGTTGAGTCCCAAAAGGACCCATGTGAAACTGAAAGGCGTTTAGAGATAATACTAATCTGTCCACAGAGCCCTGCTGGGTGTAGTCCTGTATTCATGTGTGGGCTGAAATGCACAGAATGCAGTCGTGCGATGATAGAGGCAGCATGCCAGAGACCTGAGTGGCTGTGGGTGTGATAGGTGTGTCTACAGAGTGTGTTGAACCTTTGTGCGAAAGAAAGGAGGAGTGGTGGAGCTGTGGTGGTCAAGAGGAGATACGTGACACTGTAAAGATGAGTGCGCCACCTACTGCAAGTTTAAGGAGCTGCATGAACACTTGCTCTGCTCAAATGTAGTACTTCATTTAATTCAAATCATTTAAAGCCATGTCACTCTTGCTGAGTGTAACTGACCTATAGAGCAGAAGGGAATGCACACTGGGAGAGTAGTTATGGACATGGGGTAGCACATGTCATGATGAGGAACCAGGGTCTTAACCACTTTAAAATAGTACTACGTTTACAAACATCCCGTTCTAATTGGACATGTGAGCACAGTGACAAAGTCGTCAATGTCTGCTGGTGCGTTTGGTCCACACAAATAAATAGCTACCAGCGTGCCTCACGCAGTTTGTTTTTCCCCCATACAAAAAGGAGGAACTAACAACTACTGACCTGAGCGATCGCAGCCTCATTGTCTGCCAGACCCAACAGGAAAATGCGGGCCTTGTCGATCTTGACGGGCACCGTCCGCCCTCGCCACTCCACCTCACTCATGGTGGCTGCCTGCCTGGTCCTTGCCTGAGTGATCAGGGCCTGAGGAGAGAAAAATACAAACTTGATCCACAAGAGCAAAGACGCCTTCGATTTCATTCAATCATGCTTTAAATTCTCTTCATATTTGCACACAAATGTGCTCTGCGTACTTTTTGAAGACAAATTTCCGGTGTGTGCGTGTTTCATCCATAATATGATATTAGCCATCACCACCGATAAATGAAAGTGACTGATGACACAATAATCCAATGTCCAACTGCTGTATGTTCACCTCTAGTTTCTCAGCCATCATGCCTCCTCCTCCACCAGTCAGTCTCATCTGCATCAGGTCATTGATGGCGTTCTGGTCACCTGCAATCGGACGGGAAAAGAAGTTACAAGTGTGTTCACTTGCAATGGAAATGTGCAGTTTGTGAACAACCCCCCTTCCCCCATGTGTATGTGTTACTCACCAATGTTGTAAGCACAGTAGCGGATGTTGGGTGAAATCTCATCCACACGCTGGCGATACAGAACTGCCAGCTCCTCAGTGAACGCACTGGCCAGCTTCTCATAGATGGTCCTGATTAAACAAAAATGGCGTTGTTTTATATTTACCAAGTCATAAAATTGCATTCATGATAACCAAACATCCAATTACTGTACTGTGCCAACGTATCAGGAAACTGTAGTGATGTTCAAACTCACTTGCACTTGTTGAAGGCCTCCATGGCACGCTTCCACTCCTGCAGCTCAAACTCCACCATCCCAGTCAGGTATGCAGTGTAGGCCTGAAATAGAGTACAGTAGTATTATGTGTGGCTGCTGTAAGAACACTTTAAATTATAAATTCTATGCATCAACAATGTGCAAATTTGCTACATACAGAGTAAAAAGTGGTACAGAGTTGGTTGAGTACACGTTTAGGCCTTTGACTCATGTATACCCCTTATTCTATACGTCTGCACAGCGTCTCTAAAATCAGGTTAAAGGTGACTCCGTTCTGTGTACCTGCGCCTCAAGTTTGGTCTTAGCGTCGACGCGGGGGCTCTCGCAGAGCTTCTCCAGCTTCTCGCTGTGCTTGGCAGCCTTGCGCAGTCGTGCCATCAGGTGGAAGCGCTTACGTGGCTCTGTATTGGCCTCCTGCTTCAGCTGCATGGCGTAACTCCACGCACGCTCTGCCTCCATCAAAACCAGCAACAGATACCTGAAGAAAGAGAGCTCGCTGCATCAGTTGTTTAGCATATTTTACACAATTTTTACCGCTATTTTGTTTATCTATCCCCCTGCTGATGAGGGCACAGGGTTTTTTATGATTTTGTTTTATGTGGTGTTTAATGTTAAAGTCAAATTGTGGCGCCTTTTTGTAGTTTTGTGGAGTTTTAAGCTAGTATGTTTAGGCTAGCAAGACTGCCATATTAGCTCATTTGAGGCAACTCTGTCGGTCTTAAGGAGCAGTTATTGCAATCAATATAGTTACTAATAGCACTAAATCAGAGATTGTCACTAAGCTAAAAAGTTGCTAAAATGTGATATTTCATGACTATAAATTGTGATTGATTTTCTATCAGGTTAAAATGACATGATTTTAGTTTGATTAAATATCGTAAGGCTATAGTACAATAAGTCTGTCATCAGAATATAAAAGGAGGTTAATATTTCACTTTTGTTTCTATCTGTAGCTCTTACGGTGTCTTCCAGATGTGTGATCAATAAACACATTATGAACCATCAGTTAAAGAGTAGACCATCAGAAAAAGAAATAATAATCTCCAACAACAACTATAACAAATATATTCACTGTAATGTTTGGGGCGATTCTTTGGTTTACCAGTGATTTGTACCAAACCCCGTGCAGACTCCTGTCTTATGTCGATAACAACACACCACTACATTTTGGGAGGAAGAAAGAAATCTTAACATCTGATTTCTGTTTATTATCCCGCTTCAAACACAGAGTTTGTACGTCAATCCAGTGTTTACTGTATATGACGCTACGAACATGAATATCCAGCTTGGACAATCGATTCCTCACCTGCTGTCAGAAACAATTTCAACAGTTATCTTCTTCCCAATGTACTTGTGTCGGTTGCCCATCTTGAAGCCAAGAGTCTTGCGCAGGCGACGCAGTCTGCGCGAGCAGTAGCCCCTGGACACAGTTACACAAAGATGGTTACATTACATAAATTAATAATGAGCACATGTACATTTTCATCTTGGTTTCTCACAACAGAGATAACCACACAGTCAAGTCATTTTCACCAATCTAGTTGTAGTGTTTTCTTTGGAGAACTATTATCATAAATCATCTAAGGAACATCTGCTATTCTCCTTCTAGATTTGTTTTTGGAGCCACTTCGAGACATATTAATTATTAGTGACAGTGATGTGTGTAAAATACACTTAGTGGCCACTGTTCTTTAAAATGTACAGCCCTACAATCTAAAGCAACCGTATACAACAGTATATTAACATAACATAAATTCTACCGTAACAACACGTGGAGATTTTGTTCACACTGTCAGAGAGGTGTTGATTCAAGTACCTGTATATTACTGAGGCTGTAGTTAGTGGTGGGGTTGTACTAACTACATAATATTGAGATGTCCTTAATATTCTGACCCCCCTCTTGTATGTAAATACAGTGGACATTACATTATATGGTAGGAAGAAAAAGGTGTTGTATTTGACTGCATTAGATGTACACGTGTGTCTAATAAAGTAAAAGGCTGAAATATTATAAATAATATTATATTATATTCAAATAATAATAACATACAGCAGCACAGTCTAATGTGAACCATACGGCAGCATTGGTTACCTGTATCTCTGGTAGTCTCCATGTCTGAGGCCATGCTGCTGCTGGGAATCCTTGATTATTTGTAAAACTGTAATTCAATGTTAAGGCACAATGTGATGTAACGTTACAGTATACACAGCCGGCCCTGCAGGAGAACATGTGTCACTAATACTCAAGTACTCA